CCTTTCCATGTCACCATTTAAAGACAACTTTAAACGGACTTGGAGGATCTAAGTGGATTAGTTTTACTGAGCTATATAAATACTCTTCAGATCCATGACTATTTATTTCCCACAGCATGTGCTATTATAAAGCTGATCTCTGGGCACTTATAGAAATCCCTTGCAAGTGCAAACTTTTTAAATTTTAGAATCATCTTCCTGTGCATTTTCTTGTTTGATTCTTAGCAGCCTCTTGGTTCTTAGTACAGTACTCTTTCTTCTCCAGAATGACAGATGGAGCCTATTAAGGTCCACTGAACTTTCTTCTGAAACCCCCGTTAGTTTTCTGAGATTAAGAGGAGGGTTGGGGAATATTGATAATCTCAAAGAGCAGACAATCTCCTTTAGCTTCTGAGTGGGTGAGGATCACGTGTCTTACTTGTGTGTACTGTTGGTTGATATAGAAATGAGGCTGTGAGTCTTGGGCAGACATTACTAATGTCAGTGGAGGGTGACCCAGAATTATGGAGGCACATTATAGCAGGGCCCCCAGAAGTGAAGTGTTTGCACACCTGAATATGATGGTATTCAAGCACTTTCTTCTGGTGTGTCCTTAGAAGCCAATGATTTCAACTATTTTGAGGGCTTCAAAAACGGGAAACTGATTCTTCAGTATTCTATTCATACTCTCCTGGTCATTTAGTTTTTCTGAATGCCTGGGACCAAATACTTTCTTCTAAGGCCACACACATCCATGGTTCTTCTTCCCACCTTGATGTTATGGTGCGGTTGCTGTTTTCCCTAATCTTAATTATTAGGAAATTGATTAAAGCTGTTCTGCCTAGAATTATAAATCATTCAGCAGTGTTTTAGGAATTTAGACTGTGTATCACATGTCAAGGTGATAGTTTTTGGAAAAAATATGGTAGCTCTTCTGAAGATCAGAAACCACTGGAAAATCTTGGTTTCCCTCAAAATTTTCTTCTGCTCATTAAAGTGGACACCGTTGATGCTGAGAAGGATCTCATCCAGTTTGCTATGGATTAGGAGAACCTCTCCCCACACTGTCTCCAAATGAAGGCCTAGGGAGCTATCTTGAGACTTTAAGATTTCAGGAGCTGGCTGTAGTATGGCAGACCTGGAGACCTCCTTCAGCTTTTCCATTTTCTCCTTGAGCATCTGCCTTTCTCCATCATCCATACAAGATGAGTCTGATTTAGGCTGAATGCCTGTTTGTGCATTGTCTTTCCAGAACCCATTTGGCAGAGTGCTCTGGCGGCACTGTTATTGGCCTGATGCTGATAGGGATAATTATTCTGATTATTCTGGCATCCAGCAAATGGGCAATTTTATTTTGTATTTATTTATTCATCAATACCTCTTCCCAAAAGAGATTTAAAGTGGTTTATAAAAATGCACAACATGCAGCAAGATAAGATAAATTAAAAATGAGGAATGAGATTTGGGCAAAAGGGGAGTATCCACTAGCAGATGGTAATCAGGGCATGTTCACACGACTGTCATCTTTCAACTTAATTCTGTGCTAGAGGTATAATGGGGGATTAGGGAAGAATGGGTTTGCAATAGAGGGGATGTTCTGAGAGGGTGAGACTCCTGGTTAGGAGTTCCATTCTGATTGTAAGCCTGAGCACCTCTCCTGCCTTCCCCTTCCTGCAGATAGGACTCACAAAATACCGTGAGGTTACAAGGAGGAGAAACTAGGCAGTGCTTCCAAATAGGGTAATTTGCCAAGATTTTTATTTAATATTAGTCTTCTCCTTGCCCCAAGTGTAAGAGGGTAATGTTTGTAAAACTACTGGAAAAGTCCTGGGTATAAGAAAAGTGTCCACAGCCTGGAATTGTTATCTCATTGTTATTGTACTCATGAACAAGGGGATGATTGAGAGCATGACCTTGGGGACTGACAGGTCATGATTCAGATCCCTGCTTGGTGGTTTACCTAACCAAACGACTTAATCTCTGTCAGCCTCTGCTTGTGTGTCTGTAAGAAGATGGGTTATGTTAGGGTATTGTGAGAAATGAATGAATGAAGCATTTTACATGAAATACCTAGAGCAATAGTTAACATCCTGGGCACTCTCCTCACGTCGCTCATTGTAATTATTACCAAAAGACAAAAGTACAACCGATTTAGTTTATGTGTCCAGCTGAAGCATGGGCCATGGTTTAGGTTAGTGGAAAGTGTGGTGGATTTAGAGGTGGAAACCCTGGTGCTGTTTATTAACTGTATGATTTTGAGAGAGTGGTTTACCCAATTCGAGACTGATTTTACTCAGCAACAAAGCAGTGATAAATTAAATTTCTTAGCGGTTGAAGAACCAAAGGGTTTATAAAACCATTTTTGTAATAATTTCATGTGTCAGATATGCTCTGTATTAGGCACAGTGTGTTGCCATGAATTCTGTCTTTTCCTCAAAGCACAGCAGTGCTATTATTGTTATTGAATAGGTATCAAAATTGATTCTAGGGGTCAAGGAATTTGTCCAAGTTCACACAAATGGAAATGGCTAGGCCCAGGTTTGGAACAAGCTCTGTGTATCTTCAGGGCCCATTTCCTGTGCTCTATTTCTGGGATCCAGCCTTACCTTTATGCTAGGTTATCCTGGGTTCCCTATGGAACTTCCAGTACTTCAGGGGCTTCTCTTTCTTATTAGAAGGATAATACTCTTGAAGAATGTTGTCTTTAAAAATGTCTCAAAAGGACCTAAAAAAACTTCACTTATTTTGTAATGGGAGTGGGAAAGACTACTGCTATTTTTTAAAATGTCATTTAAAGTATTATTTTGGGTAAATAGTATGTGCAAATAAATGTGAATAATTATTATCTGAACTCATCATTTCTGCTTGACATTGCTTTTCAGTGAGCTCTAGGATGGTCCTGTTCAATATCCTTCTTACTTGCATACCCTAAATTCTCCACATCCTGCATTTCTTTTCATAGAACTTGTCATCTGCTAACATGGTAGAAAATATATTTCTTCTCTTTAAAGCATATTGTATACAGACGGTTCTGCTACAATGTCTGCTCCACAGGCAGAGATCTTTCTTAGTCTGTTTTGTTCTAAGCAATCAGAAGAGAGCCTGGTACAGGGTAACTTCTCAGTAGATTTTTACTGAATAAAAACATGAATACAGATTCTTTTTCCATCGGGTCAGGATGATATGCTTGAACTCTGAAGAACACAGCAAGTCATTGTTCTGAGAGAAGATCAAGATAAGATTTAGCCCTCAGAACAGGAAAACAATCTAAATATTTACACTATTAAGAACTTGGTGTGAGGCGAAAGTCCCCATCAGATGCTGACCTTTGTTCTACCATTAGAGCATTGTTGCCAAACGCTGATCAAAGTTTGATTTATTACTTATCTGAAGTGCAATAGGAGATTTTTCTCAAGTTCAGGTTTTGTTTCAAGGATGAAAAGAGTATACGAGGAATTATCTTTGAAGTCCACATTCCATATTTTCAATTCCCCAAATTATTAGCATCCAAAGGCACAGAGACAAGATTGTATTAGAACAATCTGTATTAGAATTGTAAACTCCATGTGACGGCTTTGTCCCTTAATGAGTTTTGCAGGCTAATTCTGGAATGGCAGGATGCAGGCATCTCATTGATTGATAATGATCTGGTATTTTTTTTTTTTAATTGGGGCAGGTCCTTGGGAATAAGAAGAGCACTTGGAAACCAGGCCATAATGCTTGGCAGGAGCAGAGATGGGGAAGCGACTTGGCAGGCAGCAGGCTGCGGAGGTTCTAACTGTGCTTGCTCTTTATGTCCCTCTGTCTCGCATCTAAGTTCACTGGGCTTAGGTGCACATAGGCAAAGTTGATGTTGGAACTCCAGGGGGCTGTGGACTTGGTGATAAGAAGATTCCAGACTGAATCTAGTAGTGTGTCATTCCCATTATCTCATAATTAAGAAAAAAATTTTGTATGGATTCATCATTTTTTATTTTTTTAACAAGAAAAAATGTGTATGTTTACGGTATTTATAACAATGTTTTGAGATATGCACACATTGTGGAATGGCTAAATCAAGATACTTAATATATATTATACTTTTTTTGTGGTGAGAACACTGAAACCTATTCTCAGCAATTTTTAAGTATACCTTGCTATTAACTATAGTCACCTTGTTGTACAATAGATGTCCTGAACTTACTGACATTTTTTTTCCTTTTGACCAGCATCTCCTTAGTACCCCGACTATACCATTCTACTCTTTGCTAATCTGAGTTCAACTTGCAGATAGCATGTATGAGGAGAACATGTGGTCCTTATCTTTCTCTGCCTGGCTTTATTTCACTTTATGTAATGTCTTCCAGGTTCATCCATGTTTCACAAATAACAGGATTTCCTTGCTTTTTTATAGCTGAATAGTATTTCATTGTATGTATACCACATTTGGAAAACATAATTCTAAGTGTGAGTGAGATCAAGGGCCATGCACAGTATGCAAATATGTCCTTCACCTTAATGTTAAGACTTTGAGTTGTAATCCCATTAAATCAAGAAGGAGGCCTAGGGTCAGACAAGTGAATTACTTGCTCAAGGTCTGAAAGGATTTAAACCTGGTGATTTCAAAGCCCAGTCCTTAATACTATAACACTAGGGTTTTGGACTCTAACACTAGGGTTTTTCCAACGCAGTGTTTTATGGCTCTATGTGAAGCTGATATAGCCTCTAACATGGGACCTGCAAGTGTGTGGAAGTATTCAAAGAAGCACACTCTAACCCTGGCTTTGCCTGGTTATGATGAATCTTGAACCATGAATCACTTCACTTCTTTTTTCCCTTATATTCTTCTGTCAAAAGTGGGATTAACAACATGTGCTTCCCAGAGTTTCTGAAGGATCAAGTGAAAGGAAGTTTGTGAAAAATGTACAGTAGTTTACAAATCTAAAAAAAAAAAATCATTATATTACTGAGCAGTGATTAAATCCAGCCTTCGTCACCTTAGTGGATCCTCAATGAGGTTTATTATTTTATTTCAGCAGGTGACCTTGGCTTCATGGCAGAGAACAGCACCAGGGTGGTGGAGTTTATTCTGATGGGGTTCCAGGTTCACGCAGAGCTGCAGTTATGCCTGTTCTTCGTGTTTCTGGCCTTTTATCTCATCACCATGGGGGGCAACCTGGGCATGATCATGCTGATTCAGAGTGACCCTCGGCTGCAGACTCCCATGTACTTCTTCCTCAGCCACCTGTCCTTCCTGGACGTCTGCTACTCTTCTGTTATTGTCCCTCAGTTGCTTGAGACCTTGAGGACTGAGAAGACGGTCATCACCTACGAGCGCTGTGCCACCCAGTTCTTCTTTTTTACGTTCTATGGTAGCACCGAGTGTTTCCTTTTGGCTGTGATGGCCTATGACCGCTACGTGGCTGTGTGTAATCCCCTCCTCTACGCCACGGCCATGACACCGCAGACCCGCCTGGGGCTGGTGGCTGCTGCATATGCTGGTGCCATGGTGAATGCCGTGGTCCGCACTGGGTGTACCTTCTCCATCGCCTTCTGTAAATCCAATCAAGTGGACTTCTTCTTCTGCGACCTTCCACCGCTGCTGAAACTGGCCTGTAGTGAGACCAGGCCCCGGGAGCAGGTCATCTACCTCTTTGCTTTCCTGGTCATCATCTTGAGCGTTTTCGTGATTCTTGTATCCTACCTGTTCATCATTTGGGCCATTCTGAAGATTCAGACAGCGGGTGGTAAAGCCAGGACCTTCTCCACTTGTACTTCTCACATGATGGCGGTGGCTCTATTCTTTGGGACATTCATATTCATTTACCTGAAAGGTAACATGGGCAAGTCCCTCTGGGAAGACAAGATTGTGTCAATGTTTTACACTGTGATCATTCCCATGCTAAACCCCGTGATCTACAGCCTGAGAAACAAGGAAGTGCAGGAGGCTCTGAAGAAAGTCTTCAAAAGGTTTGTGAGGGTTTCCCAAGCCGAGTAAGGCTGGCGCTTCATCAGGCCAGAAGTCCCTGCAAGTCATGCTTTGAGTTTTTAATCTCACTCTCTTAAAACATCAACTAGATTTCATAATTACTAAGCTATCGTGAAGCACAGAAATGGAATTTGGGGTTCTGGAACTTTGTTAGTTCTATGACCTTGAGTTGGAGATGCTCTGTATCAGTTTTCTTATCAGACAAATTTCTGCCTTGCTATGACTGAAGGTTGAGAGACCTTCAGCTAGGCACAAGAGAAATGGAATACCACATTTGTAAATAACAATGTGCTATAGAATATGAGATGTATTTTTCTTACCTGTTCTAGATATAGTTTGAATGTTTTCTTTAATTCTTAAATTTGTTTTAATTAGTTATATATGACATAGAATGCATTTATGCACTTTGATATATCATACATAGATGGGATATAATTTCTCATTTTTCTGAATGTACATGTTGCAGAATCACATTGGTCATGCAGTCATATACATGCATACAGTAATAATGTCTGTTTAATTCTACTATCTTTCCTATTCCCACATTCCCTCCCATCACTTCCCTCTACCTAATTTAAGGTAACACTATTCTTCTCTAGTCCCCCTCTGCCTTATTGTGAGTTAGCATCTGCATACTAGAGAAAACATTTGGCCTTTGGTTTTGTAGGATTGGCTTATTTCACTTAGCATGATGTTCTCCAGCTCCAACCATATACTGGCAAATGCCATAATTTTACTCTTCTTTAAGCGGAGTAATATTCCATTGAGTATATATACCACATTTTCTTTATCTATTCATCTATTGAGGGACACCTAAGTTGGTTCCATAGTTTAACTATTGTACATTGAGCTGCTATAAATATTGATGTGGGCTGCATCATTATAGTATGCTGATTTTTATGTTCTTTGGGTATAAAGCAAGGAGTGGGATAGCTGGGTCAAACAGTGGTTCCATTCCCATTTTTTTGACGAATCTCCATAGCTTTCCATAGTGGTTGCACCAATTTGCAGTCTCACTACCAATGTATAAGTGTACCTTTTTCACCACATCCTCACCAACATTTATTGTTACCTGTATTCTTGATGATTGCCATTCTGACAGGAGTGAGATGAAATCTTAGAATAGTTTTGATATGCATTTCTTCAATTGCTAGAGATGTTGAACACTTTTTCATATATTTGTTGATCAATTGTATTTCTTCTTCTGTGAAGTATCTGTTCAGTTCCTTAGCCCATTTATTGACTGGGTTATTTGGTTTTTTTGGTGTTAAGTTTCTTTGAGTTCTTTATTAATGCTTTCCTGAGATATAGGTTGAGTTTTTTTTCCCCCTGAGGCTCATTTTTGTGTCTAAAATAATTACAAACCTATAGCTCAGTTTTTACATAGTAAGGTCAGTCAAATTCTTTGGTTGTGGATGGTGGGGTGGATATTAATGTTTCTTAACATTTAGTCATATCCAATTTAGGTGTTTGCCATGGAAAAATTACAAGCAGTGAACAGAAGGAAAAATAAAGAGAGGAAAGGAGATGTGATCTAAGAAATGTTCAATTAGTATATTAGCCTACTTTCTAAGATGTCATAGAGGGTAATACACTGTAGAATGAAAGAGAAATGTAATGATCTGCATTAGTTGTTGGAAACAATTTTATCTAGATGTAGGGATGAACTGAATCTCATATATATATATATATATATATATATATATATAACTGTAATATTTCTTGATCATCGAAGATCAGAAGCTCTATTTTATTTCTAAAGTATTACTCATGCACATCTGCCTCAATTAACTCAAGTTATTTCCTATTCTTCAGTAATGAAACCCACTATCTATTTTCATCTCCTCTAGGACATTTACTTTATTGTCAGAAGACAGATAACTATGAATTCTGACTGTCACTTTTTAATGACCTCCGTATCTGCTAGAAATATTACTTGGGAAACATCTCCATGGAGATCCCACAGTCTTATCCATCAACTCAGCAAATATTTATGGGCTATCTATTATGCCTCAGACATGATATTAGTTCAGAACAGAGTATTCAGTACAACGTATTACTCCTCTTACATGGGAATTAGAACCCGGAGCATGGACAGATAGTAAACCCTTTTTACAGGGAATTAATTTTTAAAAATTATTTTGGAAAATAGAACAAAAAAATGAAACACAGGGATTGTTATATTGTCTATCGAGTTCTGACCGATTTTGGCGGGGTAAGAAAAGTTCTTGCAAAACTAATATTTAAGCAGAGACCTAAAGAATTAAGTACGCCATAGTCATGAGATGGGGAGATTGTTCTGGATGGGAAGAGTTGCATGAGTGACAGCCTGTGAGGCAGGATGCTTTGAGGAACCAAGAGAAGCCACAGTGGCGGTAGCATGAGGTGGGAAAGCTTAGTGTGAGGTGCAGCTGGTGAATTCAGAAGAAACCAGGGCAAACGGCCTTGCAGATCTGCTTAGGGACTTGTGAAACTGATTCCAAGAAGAGCAAGGTATTGAATGGTCAGCTCTGAATGTGGGAAAATTTCTTTGGCTGCAGTATGATGTGTGGAAAGGGGGCATATGGGGTGGTGGAGATGGAGGGACATAGACTCTCTAGGTCTAAGAAACACAAATTGTGATATTGTGTGCATGGCATTTGACTTTCATGCGATTGTGTATGCTTCATTCCAGGATTCACCTTGGGCTGGAGAAAGCCAGCAGGTGCATGCCCACGAGGTTGGCTTGCCCGCCTTTTCATTGGTGCACCCTTATTTCTATACAGTGTGACTGTCCTCGGGCACCTGAGGGGCTACCCATTTGTTCCTTCCTCAGAGTGGTCATACTCCTTGGGGGTCAACACACTCATTAACCTCCCATGACATGCCCGGCTGTGTTCCTGAGCTTAGGAAACCACCTTTGCAGGAATTCTTATGTGTTTAATGGCAGAAAAATCCATCTTTAAATTACAAAACAAAGAAATTAAAGACCAAAATGTTAAACAGGGGTTTGCTATTTTGGTGATGGTGGGTGTTGTTACCTCATTCTCCTCCCAACTTCTACTTTCTGAGTGACAACCAATATTGCCCATAAATGAATGACATTTGGTACATGTATGATTTTGAAGATACATATGTATAATTGCTTTAGGTAGGTACCAAGTAGGTAAAAATAAAATGAAGTTTTTATTTATTTCCCTCTGATTCATATAGAAGACAACAGAGGAAATGGCGTTTATGTTGTTTTGACAATTACATGTATTAATATTTGAATGGGAATATTCATAAGTTACCTAATACATGTCAAGTTCCGTCCTGAGTTTTCCTTTATCTCAATTAAAACTCTCGTTTTTAAAAAAATGAAAGTCTCATTCTTAAAATAGACTCTCGATATAATCTTTTAGAAGTAGAATCTAGCCGGTAATCTTGGAAATGTTTTCTTTTGATTCCTTCTCAACTTGGAATTTCTTTCTTTTTAGGAACTGGGCTTTTAATGTTGCAAGTTTTTAGTTGTAACACTTTGACTTCAATATATCCACAAATAAAGAAAGCAGACCCTCGAACTCTGCGTTGACCTATTTAACTCCATTCATCCAGAAGCCAAAGTGCTGTGTTCTTGTCATCATTTAGAACAGCACTAACACTTTACTCATGGTCTTACACTGTACATATATATTAATTTCCAAGAAGGAACGTAGGTGTAAGGACAGATTAACTAGCATAAGGACATGGTGTAGAGGGGACGATGGCATGTAACCCACACAATACAGGCTCTTAGGCCCCTGGAGGAAGTGTGTGTTTATACATTGACGCTGGTCTGTGGGTGCAAATGAGGTGAAGGGGATCTGCAATACACCGATAAGAGCAAAATAGTCACATTTTTTTTTTTATCATGAGGATCAATACAGGACAGATAACACTTTCATATTTCTCCCCCGACCCTTGCTCAAATCCTGCTGTCTAACCTACAAGGAAAGGAAAACCCCACTGAAACCACATGCTCATGGCCAGAGGGCAGAGCTGCTGGGGCGCCCACACCACCCTTCCCTGTGGATCTCCCACACCTTTCTGGCAGCAGTGGGTGCAGGGAGCAGAAAGGGAGCAAAGCATTTTGGTTGAAAGGTTTTCACTGGTGATGGAGTTCAAAGGAGGCAGGGTAGCTCTAGGTTCTGAGTCTCATTTTGCCTGATGCTGAATTCAACCTTCAGAGCATATTTTCTCGCAGATCTTCCTCAGACATAGTGTGTTCAGGAGGATGAATCACTGGGAGATCGGGAGAGCTGACAGAAGTTGAAAGGAAAGTAGGCTGCCTGCTTCCCTGTGCTGGGGCTGCGAGGTGGCTTGTGGAGATCAAGATGCGGCATGGACATCATACAATTCATCCTTTTAATCCTGTTGGGAAGGAGAATCTCAGGGCTCTCCACTTATCTCTTCTTCAAAAGTCATGAAGCTTTCTGAAAATAGTCAAAAAGAACATTGTGTCTGTTTCCTTTTCTTGACATGTCTTTGTCCTTATTGAAAACATAACAGTGCAAACACAAAAAAGTTAAAAAAAAATGATGGCTACAGCAATAAAAAGTACCTTTCTCTTGCCGAATGTACTTCTCTGGGTCTCAAAACTCCTCAGAAAGGTATTGTAGGAAGAGCCCATCTACGTGTGTTGCTTTGCAGATTCGCTGTAGACACAACCTAAAATGTTTTATTCATTCATTAATTCAATAAATTAATCCTTTATTTGGGACCGCTACCTGCTATTGGGCACTGGTTTGGAGCAATTTTGGAGAGCTATCAATGAAGAAGATAGACAAAAAAAGAAATTCTCTGTCCACGTGGAGCTTATATCTTCATGGAGTCAACAGAGGAGAAACATTGACTATAATAAATGAGAAAAGAGTATAGTAGGTAATGTAATATGTTAAAATGTGTTAAGTTCTGTGGAAAAACTGAGGTGTGAATCTTACAACCTAAATGAGTACTTTCCTATTTCAGAAATACCGGAATGAAGAGGTAAGAGGTATTACTTGCTTTCTAGGCTGAATATAATCTCTGATAATAAAATTGATCTAACATTCACTGAGTTTGTATTTTGTTCACAACCCTCCAGTGAGGGCTGGAGACAACTTAGACATGGTCCCTGATCTCAAGGAGCTTGTAATTTAGAAGGAGTGAGAAATATGTAAAGAAATGTTTGCATCATGTACAAAAATATACATGTACATGTTCTGCCATTGATTCACAGGCAAGGTATAGTAGTGGCCAGAGTGAGAAATGATAAACTTTTCCTTGCAGGGATTGATGATCAAAGATGGCTTTGAAAGGGAGAAGACATTTCAGCAGTGTCTTGAAGGATAAAAAGAAGTTCATGTCATGGACC